CAACAATAAAAAAAAAAAAAAAAAAAAAAAAAGCTAACAAGCTGAATATGTTATCTTGTCCTACATATTTTGGAAGGCTAGGTGGATTATTCTTCCAAGCTTAACCTATTTTGTCATCGCTAATGTGCGTGAAATATTTTAAGTTTCTTATTTTTATTTTAGTGTATTCTTTCATTCTTATTATTTCACAAAGTTAAAATCTTCTTACTATAATGTCAAATCGTAAAGTTGGCCACACGAAGAGAAGCCAACTTAGTAGCTCACACAGTGACAATAGTTTCTATGGATATCCGTTGTCCTCGTACATATAATAACATGGTACCATATATTGCGGAACATATATTTCAAGAATTAATGAGTCTTTCCTTTTCAAAACAAAATATATATATTATTATATTCTTACCAATGGATGTTTATATTATATATTTTTTACACTATTTTCTAAGCGTACGTTGTCATGTATAATGCATAATCAAATATTATTAGCTTTTATAATAATTATTTAAAATAATTGACAATACAATTAATCTTCGTATATTAAAATTAAACTTTTTTATACCTATTTTAATGTTAACCAAACGTATACGAGAGATATAAGAATTTATCTTGTTTTATCAGATGTGCTTACGAAACAACTAAGAATTGTCTTCTCGTCTATGATGGGCTCATTTTCTTATGCGTTCTTACCTAGCACATTAAATCAAATAGCATAAACTACAAAATGATCTTAGATCAAATTTAACAACTAATTTGATAAGCTTCTTATTAAACACCAATAAAAGTGCCAACAAAAATAGAAATTCAAATTACATTCGAAACTTCTGTGATCATCTATCATTTTTACAATAAAAAAGATTTACTTTTTAGGAGTCCCATGGATTTGTTTTGGTTGGGTCATGACAGATCCAGAAGCCTACTTAAGGGGAGGGGAGGGGGCAATTTTTCTTTCTTTCTTTTTTCTATAATAGTTTGAACATTTATCCGTTAATAAATAATTATTTAATAAATAATGATTTTTATAAAATATATTTTGACTTTACATGTAAAATTAAAAGTGATTTTTTATTTCCAATGATTAAATAAACATGTTTTAATTTTTTTACAAATATTTTTTAATAAAAATTTTACATATTCTAATTTTTACTATTTATTTTTGCTAGAAGCTTTAAAAGGCTCTTTAATTTCACAAAAATAATAAAAAAAATTCAAATAAAGAGAAATAAGTTCATCAAATATTATAATAGTTAAAAGTGATCAAATCTTACAATGATGATATAAAATAAATAAATGTATTCATAATATAATAAATGAGATATCGAAATGATCTTAATTTCATGTAAATGACATGTCGAAATGATCTGAATTTCATGGGAAGAGAGATTTATAGTTACTAGAGATGGCCTTCAATATACATATAAAATCCAAAACATTGTCATTTTGGTCTGTTATTTAAATGAATATTTAAGAGGAATTAATATATAATTTGGTCATTAAAGTGGCAAGATGTATTATTTTGGTCCCTCGAAGTGCATGTCTACGCAAATTGGTCTGTGAAAGTGTCAACTTGGTGGCAACAATTTTATGCCACCAAATTGTCAACATATGAACGACTTCACCACTCAATGGACTGATTTTTATAGATGAAAACTTTCAAGTACTAAAACAACATAAGTTAAAACCTTCAAGACCAAATAGTATATTAACTCTTTAAGAGACTTCATGTTAGCATCCAGAACTAGATCAAATTGCCAGCTACTAGCTTATTACAACAAGCAACAAGGCACTTTAATAAAATAGAATGATTTTCAATTTGGCAGAAAACACGAGGAGCTACTAAAAAGATCAGGTTAAATAGAAAACAAAAGGACCTATCTTGTGATGGCAAACATATTTAGATTGGTTCACTAAACAATTTAAGTTTGCATCATAAACTATGGACAAACCTTATAAATTAACTTTGTCACCAAAAAAGTGAATTTCATTGAAATCATCAATGTATCTCTGACAGCAAGTTTTAGAGGCTGGGATACAACACACAAGAAAAAGAAAGAGAAAATACAAGGTGAAATCAATTTAGTATAATATAACGTCAATTTTCTCAAAGTGGCCTCCAAGATGTTTAACATTATGCTCTCAGAAACCATAGAGTTATATAGCTAACCTGTCTTCCCATGTTGCTCAGATATCTTTAACAAGGTCAGATCCACCAAGAACTCCCACTGTTACAACCTGCACTCAGACATTACGATACCAAGTGTTATACAATGTTTTGTTGATAGACAGCGAAAGCAGACAAGAAAAAGAAAACCAACCATTTAAATGAAAATGATTTTTTAAATTGTTACTTTCCATAGTTCTTGCATGAACTTAACATATCCAGAGTAGCCCCCTTGCATTTGAGTAGGAAACATTGAATAGACAACTAGACATAATGCAAGACTATCTAATCTGAAAGAATAAGCCTATATCTCTATTTATGTTCAGCTAGAGGGTGTCATTGCATTTTCTGATTGATGAGTAACCTCAGATAACATTTAGAATATAGATGTTCTGAATCTGAGAACTTAAATTGAAAACTTTCAAGATATAACATTTATCAAATTACAGAAACCGAAAAATCGCATAACTTGACTAGACAAATCGTATTTATATACATCGTGAAAAATCGTGTTGTGAATCGTAAGATACTGGTAACGATGCGCACAAGCAACAAGTAAAGCTAAAACAACATTCGATCCAAACTATCAAAAACTAACAAACTAACTAACCATTTAACTATAAGATACGTACAATGGATTAATAATGTAGTCTATTATATGTTATTGTATTTAACTCATGTTTGAATTTTAAGAAAATTAGAACTACTTTTACTTTGAACTTGGACCCCGTTCAATAGTCCAAACATCTCAGGAAAAAGGAAATTACTATATTGAAAAACTGTTTAGAAAAGAAAGGAAATTATGGAAATAAAATGAGCGTTATAGGAAATTACCCAAAATAAGAATAATCATGATGAAAATCCTAACAACTAATTATAACTTCGTTGACATATGAGAAAATTTAAGAAATGGGGTTAAATTCAATCATCAGATATTAAAACAAAAAAATCCTAAAATTTAATGAATGTATTATACTTGGCGCCTTGTTCTTCAAAGATTAAGTGTATAAAGAGGAGTAGTTGAAAGCCAGAATTTGTACGAAGACAAGAATGGCTGAGAAGAGTTACGAAGACGAAGCGGAGACACTCTTCGCCACGTTTCCTGAGCTGCGCGATGTGGCCGCTCCAATGACGCTGATGGAGAACATGAACGCCGCACACATCCAATTTTTGAATCTCACCGATCAATCACCGCCGCAACGCAACGACGCTCCCCACACTCCGTCAATTCGCCGGAATCAGGTTCCTCTGGTGTCCGCAACCGTCCAACAGCACTCGCCGCCGCAACAGACTCCGGCTGTGGCCGCGTCGCAGGCGGAACACTCCTCACCGGAGGTTGCCAACACTCCGGCGAGTCAGGTCGAAGTCCAGCCGCCACAAAACGGTGGTCCGTCGCCGTCGGTGTCCGTTACCGGAAAGAGAATCAGATGGAGCGAACTGGAACACAAGTAAGTAGTTAAGTATGGTATCTTTGAATGAGAGCGGGCTCCGATCCTCTGCAGCCTCTCTACGGAAATTTTGTAGACCCTCACATGGATCTAACGGTGGACAAAAAACTTTTCTCTCTCTCAAACCCATCTCATTCCTTTTCATTTTCATTCTTCTTCTCATTCGTACCTTTTTTTTTTTTTTTTTTTTCAATTTTATTTTAAAATTAAAATCGGCTTATCTTTTTAAGTTTCGAAATTTCACTGCAAACAGTTTCTTTTAATTAATTATTTTAATTTTTTTTTACTATAGGCTATCATTTTTTTTCAGAGACATCATTTTTATGTATCGATTTCACTAATTATTTATAAAATGAATAATTATAAGAAATAATTGAGATGAAATTGAAATTAAGTCATTCGTTAAAAAAAAGATTTAAATATTAATTTATATATAATTAATGTTTATAGTGACTATTTGCAAATAAAATAAAAGTTAAGAGTTAATTAGGAAAAAAAATCAGAATTTCGAATATGTATTTTGTAAAAGGAGCGTAAAGTTTTGAGAATTAAATATCATTTCCTCTTAAATTTTTAACTTTGTTTAAGTTATTATATGAAATATTAGTTTTTATGTTATTTATTTATTTATTTTCCTATGCTACTTTTCTATACAATATTTAACATTATTTAATTTTATTTTTTTCTCTATTTCATGCTTTTTGTATATTAAATGTTTACAAATGTTTCAAATTTTTATGGTCAAAGTATTAATATGACATTTGGTTGTGTTTGTGATAGGTTATTTTTGCTTGGACTTGAGAAATGTGGGAAGGGAGATTGGCAAAATATTTCAAGATATTATGTTAAAACAAAAACATCAGCTCAAGTTGCAAGTCATGCTCAAAAATACTTTCTTCGTCATAATGGGTCAAGCAAGGAGAAGAAAAGAAAAAGTATTCATGATATAACTTTGCAAAATAAAAGGCCTGTCTCTCACCATCACGTACATCAGAATGTTCCTTCTCCAAAGATTACAATACCACAACAATCACACCCAATGAATCGTTCAGTTCCTTCTACAAATCTTGCAATGCCACAGTTGCATAATGTGCATCACTTAGTCCCTCACCACAATATTAATAGCCAGCAGCAAAATAGGGTTCCTACTCCAAACCTTACAATACAAAGGTCACCTAATATGCATCATTCAGTCCCTCACCACATTGACCAACAAAGATGGGCTCCTTCTACAAATCTTGCAGTGCAACAGTTGCATGATGTGCATCACTTAGTTCCTCACCATAATAACCAACAAAATAGGGTTCCTTCTCCAAACCTTACAATACAAAGGTCACCCAATATGCATCATTCAGTCCCTCACCACATTGGCCAACAAAGATGGGTTCCTTCCACAAATCTTGCAGTGCAACAGTTGAATGATGTGCATCACTTAGTTCCTCACCATAATAACCAACAAAGTAGGGTTCCTTCTCCAAATCTTACAATACAACAGTCACCTAATATGCACCATTCAGTCCCTCAGCACATTGGCCAGAAAAGCTGGGCTCCTTCTACAAATTTTGCAATGCAACAGATACATAATGTGCATCATTCACTTCCTCACCAAATTTACCATCAAAACCGGACTCCTACAAATCTTGCAATGCAACAACCACATAGAATGCATTTGACACAAGAAATGATCCATATGAACCCACCAGTGGTCAACATGCCTCATCAAATGGGTGGATTTAACAATGGCTTCCCACCAAACAATGTTTCATCATATGGGAGAATTTAAATGTTTTGATAATATCAATGAATTTTCAACGCAATGTTTGCTAGAAGATTCATAGTTTTCAATCAATTTCAAAATTACATATATTTGTTTTTTTTTTTTTTCAGTTGAAGTAATATTAGTGCATAATTCAATATAATTTATGTAGTTAATAAAATTAATAACTAATATTTTAGTATGTGAAAAAATGTAAAGGATAAATTCTTATTTTAACTTAAACTTATTTTTTTTTAGGACAACTAAAATTTATTATAAATAAACACTTTTCAATATATAAATCATATCATAATTAAAATCAATAATAAATAAATATTTTTATATTGTGACTTCTAAATGCAAAGTTTGGTGAAAGATACATAGTTTTCGATCAATTATTAAGATAACTTTTTTATATTATTAATTAACGATATCTCACAAATTCATTTAATTCTTTTGGTTCTTATAAAAAAAAAGTTCTTTTGTTTTTAAACACTTTATATCTACTAGTAGGAAGAAGAAAAAAAAGAGACACTCCATATCTCTTAATTTTAAAAATTATAAATAAATTAAAAGAGATAATTAAATTGAATGTGTGGTTAGGAATAGTTACTTAAAAAATATGAGTGATTATTTTATTTATTTTTTTATAATAAATAAGGAGAATAGTTCATTAAAAAAAAATTATTCCCCATATATCTCTTTTATAATAGGTATAAATATAAAGTGTTTCCAATTTCCATTGCATTTCAAGTCATCTTACTCATGTTATAAGAGACTAAAGTTGGTATTGTGATTAAATCCTAATACATATATTGTGTTGTTGAATAAAAGTATTGGCATATTAGATTCTTTGCATGCAATGTAAACTAAAAGAAGAAAAAAGTCAAGTTGATGAATAAATTGTGCATTATAACTAAGCTTGGAAGGCATGTAAATGCATGAGATTTTACGCTTATATATTGAGTTTGATTTCAATAAATGTGTGATTTATATGTATAGAAGATTTAATTAGCCTGCTTGTTATAATGGGGGATTATTTTGCAGGAATTTATCAATTTTACGCTTCATTACATTGTTGATTTGAATATCCCAACCAATGTAGCATAGTTATGCTTTTGTGATCTACCATCATAAAAGATTTCATAGTATTATTATTTTTTCTAAATTTTAACTTGAGATATTAAAAAGATGCTCATTATGAAATCATCACATACAAAATGATTAAAATATCTTTACGTAAAGTAATGTTTTTCCATTGTGCATGATCAATCCAGGTTTCAATTCCTAGGAGTACAAAACAAAAAGCAGAACGTCAATAGATCAATCTGGAGCGAATTGGAACACAACTGTAAAAGTAGTTAAGTACTGTGTCTACGAGTGAGAGAGGGATCTAATCCTCTATAGCCTCTCAACAGAAATTTTGTAGACCTTCAGAATGGATCTAATTTATTTTATGAATTTATTGTCTTAATTTTTTGTTTTGAAATATGTAAAAAGTATTAGTTTCTATCTATTTTATTTATACTAAATAGATTTTTGGTGCACGTCACATCCTTTTGCAGCAAAATATTTTAATATAATATAAAATAAGATTTACTATAAATAAAAACTGGCATGCAAGATAAAAAAGATTAACATTACTTAATTTGTTATATAAAACTTAATGTACTTTATAATAAAAGGTTAAATTATAATTTTGATTTATGTATTTTAATTTATTTATAATTTTGATCTCTTTATTTTAAAATAGGTATTAGTTTTAGTGCATATGTTAATGTATTTCAATGTATTAGTTTTTATCTATTTTATTTAGATTAAAATAGATTTTTTTTGGTTGGTGTATGTGACATCCTTTAACCACAAAATCTTTTAATACAATATAGTAATAAAATAAGGCTTATTATAAATAAAACTCCCATGCAAGATAAAAAGATTAGCATTAACCTTAATTTATTGTATAAAACTTAACGTACTTTATAATAAAAAGTTAAATTACAATTTTAGTTTCTCTATTTTCCCCTAAAAAAAAAAAAGTTTCTCTATTTTTTTAATATATAATTTTAGTCTCTTTATTTTAAAATAGAGATATATAGTTCTCCTATTTTTATAAATATGGAATTTTAGTCTTATATATAATCAATCTAATATTCATTAATCGTTAAATTTTGACATTATTGATGTTTTGCATTTTTATCATGTTTTGGTCTTAAGTTTTTAATTAATTAAAAGTACATTCATGCATTATATAACGTAGTTACCATATGAATTGCTTTTAAATTCACTTTTTCTTTCATGCTCATTATGTGTCTGGTTTTCTTTGTTATTTGTATATATTAGGTAAATATATGATTTTTCATCAAAGATCAATGACGAAAAACAAGAAAAGAGACAAGACAGAAAAGGTCACGACCATGACTAACCAATCACACCTATGACCAACCCAACAATATATATAAAGAAAAAAGAACATCAAAGGCCGAACATGTCATCGTGACACAAACTAACTACTACACATTATCTTTTAGAATATTTTATTTTATCTTATTATTAAGACTTCATTTTGGGCTTATCTTTTATGCTTTTTTTAAATTATAAATTAGACTATTGGAACTAGGAAGAATACTTTTGATTTTATGCTTTGATAAAGGGATTGAAGGAGAGGAATTTGTGTTGGTGTTTCTCCATTTCTTAAGTTTTTTTCTTCTTATGTTATCTTTTTTTTTTTCTTTTGAAAGAACTACTATGAACATGTGTGAGTAGTCTCTTTTTCTGGGATCGAGGCTTAGCCCATGAGACCCTTTATGCTTTTATGAATTATTCAGTTATTTAATTATTGTTCTCTTCTTGATCTTATTTCCTTACAAATTATATATGTTAAACGATTAATCACTATTTTTCATAATTTTAAATATTTAGGGAGGTGCTGAGAAGTGAACCTAAATATTGGAATATAAAGAAATAAACTTAGGCTTTAAACCACGAGAGCGCAGGTTTAGTCTTTCAAAGATCAACTAAATTAATATAAATTATAATGGGTTTAATTGAAAATAACTATCACGAAAGTAAGAGTTAATTCAATTAAACACACATTTGTATATTGAGAGAGAGTGAAGGATAACTTAGGTTAATTTACCTTAAGGGGGAACAATTAAATATATAAGTAAAAACATTTGAACATATGAAAATTCATTGAATAAACCCTTATTTCTAAAATTTTCTTATACTTGAAACTATTGTTTTATTAA